GATGTGTCTTCTCAGGCGATGGTAAACTACTGGCGAGTGAACGATTATTTACCTCATTTCAGCAGGATATATATATATATATATATATATATATATATATATATAGTCAGCACCTGAGAATTGCGTTTTGCATGAAACTCCAACTCGATAACGATTGACATTACATTTAAATTTTCGAAGAACAAAGTTGATTGGGAAGTAAGAGGCCAGGTGAGAGTTCCACAAACGCGAAAGAAGAAACTGCTAGCGTAGAACTTACGGTTACAACTATTTCAAATCTGAAATGATGAGACCTAGCCGGCAACCTAGTACTGCGCTTAATTTCATAAAATCTAGTTACCATAGAAGAAAGTTCACCAGAACAATTACCATGAAAGTATTGATAGAAAAAGTACAGGGAATCTACTTTACGCTATATATATATATATATATATATATATATATATATATATATATATTAATTGATTTAAAATATGTTTTTCGCTACCCAGTTCTAACCATGTTTCAAAAATGGAAGCTGAAAGCTTCGAATTTAATTTTGTAATTAAATTAAAGACATTAGTTCCATTTCATTCTCAAGCAAAAAAAAAACATATTTTAAATCAATTAATTTATAATATTAATGCTCTGAAATTTACATTGAGCACTATTTTGTAAAAATAAAAATATCTATAAGAACACCGGATTATATATCTTACTGTTCTTTCTTATATATATATATATATATATATATATATATATATATATATATATATATGTATGTGTGTGTGTGTATATGTAGTATAATCCAGGCAAGTCCTATTAACACAATATAATATAGAATTTGAAATATGTTAAAACTCACAAAAGCGCGCTCAATGTTTATTTTCATTAAACAGATCAATTTTTCTTTACAAGTGGAATTAAGATACCTTTAGTTAATGACTATCTTCACCTACGAATTAGAATTTTAAAATTCACAGGATTTTTCAAACTGTTTATTATATCAGTTTGTTGTATAACTGATACCATAAAAATTAAAATTCGTAGGTGAAAATGATCATTAACTAAAGGTATCTTAATTCCAATTGTAAAGAGTATACACACACACTCACACACACACACACGCACATACATATATATATATATATATATATATAGAGAGAGAGAGAGAGAGAATCATAGAGAGGGGGAAATTATGTGAGAGAGCGGTGCGCATATCAAGTAGTCGGAATAATACATACAGTTTTGCTAAAGCCTAAAAAATGTCTATATTTTTTATTTGTTACTTTGTTGTTTTCGTCTTGTCATTAAATGAATATTTCTTCCTGGCTATCCTTTTTTGAAATTTTTCTGTTTTTTTTTTGGGGGGGTTGTTTTTGTTTTTTTGATCGTCGCAAACAAAAAGACACCATTTTTTTCTTTTTTTCACTCCTCCCAATTCTTCCAAATATTTTTACACCGCATTCATGGGAGACATTAAGAAAATTAAGAAAGCAAGATAGTTCCCGTCGCGATTCTCACAGCGGGAATCGCAAAATAGATGTCTTCAGCCATTATTCTCTGGAGATGTCATGGACAAAGTGGCATCTTTTTTCTTTACTTTCTTGTTAAGAGATAAAGTGCAGTTTTTGTAGGGTTACTGGTGAAAAGTTACGAAGAAAAATACAGGTTTTTATCATCTGCAATTTAAGTTTCGAAAAGAGAGCGAAACAAATGAAAAATTGTAAATGGATTTTTTTTTTCAAAAGATTAAATCGATAAACAAAATGCAAGGATATTTAAGTAAACTTCATTTTTATTTCTCTATTTTAAACCGATTGTAATATGCATTATTACTGTGCATTTCCAGCAACGTGACCTGCTATCACCCGGGCCAAAAATGACTTTAGCAATTTTTACGTGAAATAAATTTTGGCTTCACCTTGTGTGGGCGACATTAAAAATTTAGAAAGGAACAAGCAATTTATCATGCATAACAATTGCCGTATATATTCCAAGCCCTTTGTCAAGGGGCTTCGTTTTGTGGGCCGGGAGGGGGCTTTAAGTTGGGAACGAGGAGTGTGCGTAAGAATTTGCATAAATGTAAATTCAGTTAAAATTATGAAAAATATGCATTGCCGTTCATAAAAATTTCACACACACACATAGATAGATAGATAGATAGATAGATAGATAGATAGATAGATAGATAGATAGATATGAACAGTTTGAGATAGATAGAGAGATAGATAGATATGAACAGTTAAAGATAGATAGATAGATAGATAGATAGATAAGTAGATGGTATATTCGTGTAAAAGTCGATCTAATGTTAAACACGTATAACTTTCCGTGATCGGATATAAAACTTGGTTAATATATTTATTTTATCTTTTTATTTAATATGATTCTCTTCAATCTTGTAAATTTAGTTAAAATTATGAAAAAAACATCGTGTATTGCTGTTCATAAAAATAGCGGGAAATGCAATTTCACATACATATATATATAAAATGATGAACTGAAGGCAAGGATTATGGCAGCATTCATCTCCTTAAACAAGGTGACCGTTCACAAGAGCTGCAAGAGATTCCGAAGTCAATGGCGATTTTATGGAATAAATTTATTCTTTAGATATTTTTCGTGTAATTTTGATGAATATATCGGTTAAAATGCGATATCAGTGTTATTTCCATTTTTGCGTCATTTAGACGACAATATATCAATCGCACCCTGTAGATAGATAGATAGATAGATAGATAGATAGATAGATATTTTCATATCATTTTCAAAGTGTAGAAATGATTTTATAAATGAGCAAAAGCATGTCCGATAACTTTCTCTATTTTAAACCATAGATATATAGATAGATAGATAGATAGATAGATAGATAGGTGATATATATATATATATATATGGTTGGATTGGTGTGAGTTTGTGACCCTGGGTATCACGCTTTTGCAAAATCGTGAAACCCAGGGTCACAATCCAACCAAATATGTTAGCTCTATCTCTGATATTGAGCGCTTTCTAATAAGTACCGCGCATATAATATATAAATAATAATATATATAATATATTACACACACACATATATATATATTTATATAGACACACTTTTCACACATATATATATATATACATATATATATCATATATGTATGTGTGTATATATATATATATATATATATATATATATATATATATATATGTATAGACGATAACTGTGTCTCTTGTCACAAATTCCCCACCTATATCAGACATACTATCACTTCCTTTAGCAGACATCTCACATGTCACTTATTTGATCAAAGTTCAAATCTAGCTATCCACAATTTATATGGACCCTGAAGAAATATTCTTATCAAAAACACTAAAATTCTACATAATTCACATTACCGGAAACATCTCGCTATAAGAGAGGCCCTGTATATCTACCACTATTAACCTCACCTTATTTAACAGCGGGGATGTGTGTTTATACATTTTTTTAAATCAAAAGACGCTCACTCGAATTCCAGCCGCGCTCAACAAGCAAAGGCTCGGAATAAACGCTCCTACTCGGGTTCAAAAGAAAACAAAAAGTACTTCTTAAACAGTCAAACATGAATGGAAATTAGCAAGACCCAAAAACAAACTCCCTTGAAAATGGCTAAAGTAGCCGAAAGCGCTTGAAACAATGGAAAATATGATCAATTTTTTTATTCCTTTACACCCACTAAACGGAAAACTCGATGTGGTTAAACAGAGCTAAAATATATATATTAATAAATATACATATACCTACGTTTTGGTGTGTGACTTAAATTTCGTTGGTTTTCCAGCTCATCGGACACAAAGTGCATCTTGTGTTTTTATAAAAAAAATAAACTTAAGCCGCACCCCAAAACGTAGGTCTGGGGAGGAAGTGTGGGTTTGTTAACAGTGACTATTACAGCTGATAATGCAAGACTCTTCGGTAAATCGAATAGAGTTCTCTCTGTCACTGTGTGTTTATCTAAAAATAAATACGCTTAAATTCACCTTCATTCCTGCCGAGCAACTTAGTGGCAAAATCCCCGACTGACGCCAATTCAGTCGGGTTTCGATCCTAGCTAGTGGCAACCGGACGTCTAGCCACACTGATGAGCTGCGATACAGCAAAACAGTCTGTCTGTGGATGACATTATTTATATAGTTATTAGTCAGATTTAAATTAAACCAGGAAGCAGTTGTATTTAGGCTGATCTTCGAATTTTATAAATATATATATATATATATATATGTGTGTGTGTGTGTATGTGTGTGTGTGTGTATGTATGTGTTTAATTATCTGAAGATGATTTAAGCTGTAAAACCGCTAGTCAATATGCAGTGTTAATATCTATGTCCATCGCCGAAATACGCTCTCCCAGAGATAATGGCTACGCTTCTACTATAAATAAGCAATTTTAAGTTTTTCTATATCTACTTGCTTGTGTGTGTGTGTGTGTGCGTGTGTTTGCCTGTCTCTGTATGTGTGTGCCTCTGCGTATGTGTGGTGGGGTGAGTAAAATGTAAACAATATGTGCATATAAATTGTGTCTATGCATAAACATTGTGTATGTAAATTGTATGTGTGTGTATGTATGTAAATTATGTCTATAATTAAATTGTGTGTGTGTGTGGATTCCAAAATTGATCATGTACATTACGTGTCGCTGGTAAAGCAAAAAGCTAAAAAAAATAATTTTAGATGAAAAAAAAAAATGAAAAGGACAAAATATAAAACTATAAATGTAAATCTAATAAAAACGCAATAAAATGAAAATAAAAAATATTTTAAAACTCTTTAAAAATAAGTATTCGCTGAGTTGATGAAAAAGGTTGAATTTTATCAAAGATAAAAGCAATTCTCGAGTATCTAAATACACACACACACACACATATATATATATATATATATGTATATATATATACGTATATGTATATATATATAAACGTATATGTATATATATATAATTTTTGTATTTATTTTCTTCTATCTTGTAAATTCAGTTAAAATTACGAAAAAAATAACGTCAATTGTTTTTCATAAATGCAATTTCACACACATACACACATAGATAGATAGATAGATAGATAGATAGATAGATAGATAGATAGATAGATAGATAGATAGATAGATAGATAGATAGATATGCATAGATAGAAATATATGCATAGATAGATAGGAAAATATTGTGATAGATATGTAGAAAGTCTGGAACAGATAGATAGATAGATAGATAGATAGATAGATAGATAGATAGATAGATAGATAGATAGGAGCAGGCCTAAATTGGCAGATAGATAGATAGATAGATAGATAGATAGATAGATAGGAAAATACTGTGATAAATATGTAGAAAGTTTGGAACAGATAGATAGATAGATAGATAGATAGATAGATAGATAGATAGATAGATAGATAAATATTTTGTTATTTTATGAAATTGACTGAGATCAACCAAAGACAAATTGGGAGAGAAATTGGTTGATTCGAGGACAAAGTTCATCATTTAAAAAGCAAAGCATTTTCAAAAATGATTGCTGTCGTTTTTATCAAGCAACAGCAAACAATTTTCAACATGGGACAAATCGAAGTTGTTTACTTTTCTCTTGGGGAAGAATTTGTTCTTCACCCTTTAGAGTCCAGAAGAGGGAGGTAAAACAGAGGGCGTGGCTGTATCAGAGTTGAATGGGTCAGACAAATCGTGTCTCGACCGAAATCGAACCGGTTGAAATGTCATGGGACATGTGTTTTCATGATTTGCCCTTTACGACGGGAAAGAAATGATGAAAAAGGATCGACATCGTGTGGAAAATGAATGAATGATATTAGATGTGAAGATGCGTGTTTGTCTGATTAAGTAGGGGACCAAAGGTAAGTAAACAAGGAAATGCTGATATTTCTGATGGGGAGAAAAAGGGGAGAAGAGAAGGGTGAAAAGAAGGGGAGGTAGGACAAATAGTTCAACAAAGACAAAAATGAAGAAAAGAAAGGAAGACTAGAAAATAAGAAAGAGACAAACCAGCAAATACAGGCAATTAAATAAGAAAGAAAGAAAGAAAGAAAGAAAGAAAGAAAGAAAGAAAGAAAGAAAGAAAGAAAGAAAGATAATGTCGGAAATGAAATAAGAAAGAAAGAAAGAAACAAACAAACAAACAAACAAAAGAAACAAACAAACGAAAGAAAGAAAGAAAGAAAGAAAGAAAGAAAGAAAGAAAGAAAGAAAGAAAATAAATGTCGGAAATGAAATAAGAAAGAAAGAAACAAAGAAACAAACAAAACAAAAAAAGAAAGAAAGAAAGAAAGAAAGAAAGAAAGAATGAAAGAAAGAAATAATGGAAATGAAATCAGAAAGAATGAAAGAAAGAAGATCAAAGAAAGAAAATCGCAAAAATCTAATACCCCAAAATCTAGCCGTAAGCGAAAAACATTTTTTTGATATTGAAACGGAAAGATAAGAAAAGAAATTTAATAAATGAAAAATGCGGGGAAGAAATTTAAGAGAAATAAAATTCGTTAATGAGATAAGGAATGAAATCAGAAAAGGAAAATGATGCGAGAAGATAAGAAAGAAAGAAAGAAAGAAAGAAAGAAAGAAAGAAAGAAAGAAAGAAAGAAAGAAAGAAAGGAAGAAAGAAAGAAAGAAAATGCATGTCTGAAATGAAGAAAGAAAGAAAGAAAGAAAGAAAGAAAGAAAGAAAGAAAGAAAAGAAAGAAAGAAAGAAAGAAAGAAAGAAAGAAACGTTTTAATCGACTTGAAAGAAATAAAGCAAATAGGGCAAAGATCGAGATGTTGTAATGGCGGCACGTGCCGAACTGTGAGTCGACGCTGACATTCGTGGTCTTCAAAACTTCAAGAAGAAGCGAGAGTCGAAAGTGTTGAGGCGTGAAAACATCTCGGGAGAACAACGTTTGAAATCTCGTCCTCATCTCCTCGCGCGATTTCACCCTTCAGTTGGGAAGCTTGTTGACGTTAGATAGAAAATGAAACAAAACGAAAAAAAAAAAAGAAAGAAAGAAAGAAATTGGCAGTCCGGTCTGAAAAACACGATCTCAGTTTTTCGCCCATTGCGCAAGACAAGAGTGCGCATGCCTGGATATGTGCGCGCGTCGCCATATATACACGCGTGCGTCGTTGTGTTTGGAGTTGTATAACTTTGTTGCGAATGAGTTTCTTAATATTGTTGATCTTTTTCAATACGGAAGATGCGAATAATGATATACTCACTAAAGTAATGAATAATCTGTATGAGAAACTTTCTGGTAAAGTCTGGCATCTGAAATCGAATCGAGACGTCTATTCAGCAAGTGCATCTCTACAGTTAGAAAAGAGGCCATTTTGGAAAAATAGGGAGCTTTCCAACATCGACGCAAAAATCTATAGTTATAGATTTCTTCTCCTCCTTCTCCCTTTCGACTCCTCTTCTTCCCGTTTTCTTCTTCTTCTTCTTTTCCGTCTCCTCTTCCTCCCCCTTTTTCTTCTCGTCCTTCTCCCTTTTCAACTGAACCGCCTCCTTTCTTCTTCATCTTCTCCTCTTCCTCCTCCTCCTTCTTCTTCTCTTCGCCTCCTTCTCCTCTTCTTTTCCGTCTCCTCTTCCTCCTCCTTTTTCTTCTCTCCTCCCTTTTCAACTGAACCGCCTCCTTTCTTCTTCATCTTCTCCTCTTCCTCCTCCTCCTCCTTCTTCTTTTCTTCGCCTCCTTCCTCCTTCTCCTCTTCTTTTCCGTCTCCTCTTCCTCCTCCTTTTTCTTCTCTCCTTCTCCCTTTTCAATTGAACCGCCTCCTTTCTTCTTCTTCTTTATCTTCTTCTTCTTCTCCTTTTTTTCGCCTCCTTCCTCTTCTTCTCCTCCTCCTCCTTCTACTCTCACGACATGTAAGATCATGACTCTCCACCACTTCATGTCCTTTGTAGCCCTTAGTAAATTTTTGTCTTTTTTATTATATCTCTTAATCACTGTTCTGTCAACCATTGACACAAATTCGTTAGATTTGTTCTGCATTGTTTTCCTCTGCTCCGCTTATCTTCAATACGTCTTGTGAGTGTCAAGTTTTACAAGCCCTCTTTCTTCATTATATTCCCTTGAAATTTCAACTCTCTCTTTCTGATGCTACGTATAAGTGTTCCTTTTATTTCTATTTTCTCTAAAACTTCCTCTTTGCTCACATCAACGAAATTTAATATACAGTACATCGACGGCTTTGTTTACATGATTGTAATCTCATATTTCAAAATATACGGTTTAAAAGATATTAACGTTGATTATTTCCCTTTATATATGAGTTATAGTTATACAAAGCTGTGATCTAAATACTAAGGTGGTCACCACTTTCGAGACAAAAAATGAGTTTATTTGAATTTAAAAAATTGGTATCAGCAAGCAATTATATTATTAATTTATTACCATAAAATACCATATTTGAAAATGAAATTAAAGCATTTAATTTAAAAATGTATTTGAATAGATACATACATATATTAAAACTTCTCTCTGTTAAATTTTAATCCCCACCTTCACCTTTAGGCCTTCCTCTTCTTCTTCCTTCTGTTACCCCTCTCTCTAGAGTTTTCATACATTTCCCTCTCACACTTGTTTCTCACTCCCACACATACACACTCACTAAAATTTTATTTTTTATACCCGGAGTTATATTTTCCGATTTCTTTTTGGATTTGTAGGTCTGATGAATTGGATCATGATTACGATTCCAATGTAATAAATTATAACCATGGAATATTAGTGTTTGAGCTTTTTTATTATATATATATATATATATATATATATATATATATATATATATATATATTATATTGTAGTGCTTATCATAGTGCGAAGCTTATATTTTATATCATAAGGAAACAATTTATACAAAGAATTAAATAGCAATGTTAATGTGATTAATGGTGAAATAACTTCGCTCATAGAACTTAATGAGACATTAACTTACTATCAATTCATTGAATAATAAGATCCTTATATTCGAGTTGTTGTCAGATGAAAGACACATGCCAGGTACTTTCGACAATTTCAAATTGTCATCTTCAGGGCACAATTTTCCCATACATAGTCAAGCACTAAGACGAAATATGTGTAGACCGAAAGATTTTTTTTTTTAAATCATGATATTTATTGAATATGTTTTGGGGCGAGGGATGCCGCGACGCTAGAGTTCTTGTTCAAATCGATCAAGTGAGAATTTTGTTTGAATTTTGAAAAGTTATAAAGATGACAATTTGAAATTCTCGAGAGCATGTCTTCCATCTGACAACAACTCGCTTATAAGGATCTAATTATTTAAGGAATTGATGGTATGTTAATGTCTCATTGAGTCCTGTTAGCGAAGTGATTTCATCATTAATCACATCAACATTGCTATTTAATTCTTTGGATAAATTGTTTCTTTATTTTATATAGATAGATAGATAGATAGATAGATAGATAGATAGATAGATAGATAGATAGATAATTAGAAATTCAATATTTGGCAAAAAGTGATATTCGTCAAAAGAATGGCTAAATTAAAAGAGTGCCTAATACAATTTTCATAAAACGAAAATGTAGGGCAAGTTGGGATATCCAAAGAACTGGCCTTCCTGCAACAACGATTCCTGCCAAGATGGCTTCGTCAGGCATCAATTCTCTCTCTCTCTCTCTCTCTCTCTCTCTCTCTCCATATATATATATATTTATATATATATATATTGGTTGTATGTGTATGTGTGTTGATTATGTAAATTAGTTATCTTCATTAAGCAAAACTTGGTAAGTTGGACAAGGTATAAGACATATGCTATACAGAACATGGCATTTCTTTAATTTATCCAGTGTCTGGTCTCCATCTTTTATCGCTATAGCTATTATTATTGGCCCACCGTTTCGACCAACTATCCTCTGGTCATCTTCAGCTGCACATTATTTTGGTTGAATCATGTGTTATTGCCGTGGTTGAAATGCCGTTTCTTTCTTGTTCCTGCTGAGCAAGACTATATGGATTTCACTGCCTGATCCAGGGATTGAACTCACAGCTACTAGATGACAGCAACACTTAATTAATAAACGCCGATATCTTAACATCCTAAAAATCTTTCTAAAATCAGATGGTTTCGGCATTTCTTAATTACGGCGAATTCGTAACGCTTTCTGATAAATCTTTTTATCTTCAAGAATGACGCAACGTTTCGAACAAGTGCCCTCTGGCCATCTTCAGGGATTCATTATTTTAGCTGAAAGGGTTTATGTATTAGTTTTTGTGTTGTTTTTATCCTAACCATGTTGTTTCTTGTTCTTTCCAGCTGGTCCTGAGTTTGAACTCATTATTATTATTAGATGACAAGAGTTGAATAATCAGGGAATAAAATAACACAATAATGAATTCATCTAAGATATCCCAAACAAATCTCTTCTTGTCTTTCTTCTTTTTCTTCCTCTTTCTCCTTTTGTTCTTTCTCTTTCTTTTTCTCCTTTTCCTCTTTCTCTTTCTAATTTTATTCTTCTCCTTTTTCTCTTTCTCTTTCTCCTTTTCTTCCTTCGCTTTCTCCTTTTCCTTTTTCTTCTTTTTCCTCTTACTCTTTCTCCTTTTCCTCTTTCTCTTTCTCCTTTTCCTCTTTTCCTCTTACTCTTTCTCCTTTTCCTCTTTCTCTTTCTCCTTTTCCTCTTACTCTTTCTCCTTTTCTTCTTTTGCTTTCTTTTTTCTTCTTTCTCTTTCTTCTTTCTTCTTTCTCTTACTCCTTTTCCTCTTTCTCTTTCTTTTTATCCTTTTCCTCTTTTCCTCTTTCTCTTTCGCCTTTTCCTCTTTCTCTTTCACCTTTTCCTCTTTCTCTTTTTCTTTTTTCTCTTTCTCTTTCTTCTTTCCTTCTTTCTCCTCCTCCTTCTCCGCTTTCTCTGTCTCCTTTCTTCTTTCTTTTCTCTTTCTCCTTTTCCTCTTTCTTTTTCTCCTTTTCCTCTTTTCCTCTTTCACTTTCTTCTTTTCTTCTTTCTCTTTCACCTTTTCCTCTTTCACCTTTCCTTCTTTCTCTTTCACCTTTTCCTCTTTTCCTCTTTCTCTTTCACCTTTTCTTCTTTCTCTTTCTCCTTTCCTTGTTTCTCTTTCACCTTTTCCTCCTTTCCTCTTTCTCTTCCGCCTTTTCCTCTTCCTCAGTCTCCTTTCGTCTTTCTGTTTCTTCTTTTCCTCTTTCTCTTACCACCTTTTCTTGTTTCTCTTTCTCCTTTTCTTTCTCTTTCCCCTTTTTTCTTTCTCCTTTTCCTCATTCTCTGTCTCCTTTTTTCTTTCTTTTTCTCTTTCTCCTTTTCCTCTTTCTCTTTTTTCTCTTTCTCCTTTTCCTCTTTCTCTTTCTCCTTTCCTTCTTTTTCCTCCTCCTTTTCCGCTTTCTCTGTCTCCTTTCTTCTTTCTTTTCTCTTTCTCCTTTTCCTCTTACTCTTTCCTTTTTTCTTTCTCTTTCTCTTTCTCCTTTTCCTCTTTCTCTTTCTCCTTTCCTTCTTCTCCTCCTCCTTTTCCGCTTTCTCTTTCTCCTTTCTCTTTTCTCTTTCTCCTTTTCTCTTTCCTTTCTCTTTCCTCTTTCCTTTCTCCTTTCCTCTTTTCTCCTCCTCCTTTTCCTTTTTCTGTCTCTTTCTTCTTCTTTTCTTTTCTCCTTTTCCTCTTACTCTTTCTCCTTTTCCTCTTTCTCTTTCTCTTTCTCCTTTTCCTCTTTCTCTTTCTCCTTTCCTTCTTTCTCCTCCTCCTTTTCCGCTTTCTCTGTCTCCTTTCTTCTTTCTTTTTCTCTTTCTCCTTTTCCTCTTACTCTTTCTCCTTTTCCTCTTTCTCTTTCTCTTTCTCCTTTTCCTCTTTCTCTTTCTCCTTTCCTTCTTTCTCCTCCTCCTTTTCCGCTTTCTCTGTCTCCTTTCTTCTTTTTTTCTCTTTCTCTTTTTCCTCTTTCTTTTTCTCCTTTTCCTCTTTCTCTTTCTCTTTCTTCTTTCCTTCTTTCTCTTTCTCCTTTCCTTCTTTCTCCTCCTCCTTTTCCGCTTTCTCTGTCTCCTTTCTTCTTTCTTTTTCTCCTTTTCCTCTTTCACTTTCTTCTTTTCCTCTTTCTCTTTCACCTTTCCTTCTTTCTCTTTCACCTTTTCCTCTTTCTCTTTCTCCTTTCCTTCTTTTTTCTTTTTCCTTTTTCACTTTCCGTTTTTCTTCTTTCTCTTTCCCCTTTTTTCTTTCTCCTTTTCCTTTTTCACTTTCCCTTTTTCTTCTTTCTCTTTCCCCTTTTTTCTTTCTCCTTTTCCTCTTTCTCTGTCTCCTTTCTTCTTTCTTTTTCTCTTTCTCCTTTTCCTCTTTCTCTTTCTCCTTTTCTTCTTTCTCTTTCTCCTTTTCCTCTTTCTATTTCTCCTTTTCCTCTTTCTCTTTCTCCTTTTCCTCTTTCTCCTTTCTTCTTTCTCTTCTTCCTTTTCCTCTTTCTCTTTCTCCTTTTCTTCTTTCTCTTTCTCCTTTTCCTCTTTCTATTTCTCTTTCTCTTTCTCCTTTTCCTCTTTCTCCTTTCTTCTTTCTCTTCTTCCTTTTCCTCTTTCT